AATTTTCTGGAACAAAATATCTTTTGATTCGATAAAATCCCACCCCATTCCCACTCTCCATAAAGGGATTATCAATTTGCGTGTCCTTTAGTGAATACAAATAAAATGCGAATACACAAGACGCGTTCATCAAGCACCAACGTTTATCATTTACATTTTAAGGATATTAAATTATAATTTTAAATTCATGTATAAAACAGTATGTATTATTTATGTTCTCAAAATAACCCAAATAGTCCAAAATTGTTCGTCCGAAAGGTCCTAAAACAAGTAGTTCACACAACACTGGCACAGCAAACAACTCCAAAGTCTATCTCTCCGTGAAGAAACTCTGGAACATGTATTTCACACAGGACACAAGGACGGCCGAGCACGACTGGGGCTGATTGGATTCTTCACCAAGATCTATCTCCACAACTTGAGGGCGGGCTCTGGGGGCAAGGACTGGGAGGGAGGTCTGGGGGTCGGGCTGGGATGAGAGGGGGTTGACGGTGATCGTGAAGTCACTGGTGCGCTTATAAAGAGGAAATAGATGTCCTTAAATAATTGAAATCAGTATCAATCTATAGTTCAAATAGCTTGAACTATGAAGAAAATATCCGTTATTTGTATTCTACCTTATCTGGATATTTATTAAAACAAATAGGAAGTGAAGATATACAGCCAACAGACTAACATACATAAAAGCGACAAAAATATTTCAATAATCATAATAAAATAACAAAGTGTCCATTTCTACTAAGTATGTGTTTCTAAAACTTTGGTTATGTGAGGGAGAGGTAGAAAAATGCAAGTCGTCTTTCTTGTATTGAGTACTGGTTATCAGAATCTTCAGGTATTTCATATTTGTCTCTTTTTTTATCGTTTTATTTCTTTTTGGAGTAGACAAACAATACGTTTACAGATTATAGTTCACATACAATTTTAAATACATGCAAAGAACAAAGTATGTCTATGGATGATAACAATCAAAAGAATTGCAGTGTCAGGAAAGCAAGATCTAGTTGGAATTGTATAAGTTAGAGGATTACTCACATAACTAGTGAGTCTGTGACAGTAACCAAAATGTCATGAAGTGTGTGTATTTACATGGGGAATATAACGTATTGCTGACGATGTATTATAACGCGTGAGTTGGTTATTTCTGGTTTGATGTGATGGAAATTTGGTAGGGATTCGGAAATGTTTGATGTGAATGTTTGTTCAGTTATAGTTGTAATACGATTTAAACATCATTTGTTTTTCTTGATATCCTACTAAAAATACATATTAGTCTTAATAAAATGACTTGTTTCGAACTGTTGTTAGTCGCAAACGTTCTCGAAATTTGCTTTTCTTACTAAAAGGACACACTCAAACAACTTGAACCCAATGATGACCTACAGGATCAGGGACAGGAAGAGTCTTTTGGGAGACGGGGGCCTGGTAGTTCCTAAACCTGTAGAGATCGTCCTGGGCTATAATGGAATAAATAAAATATAACTTAAAAAAATAAAAAAGACGTTTCTAGGGACTGAGTGGATCCCCATTTTACAGACCAAATACAACAGACTATTGCCCAAACTAGACAGTCTACTGAAAGAAACACAGCGCTTGTGTGTTTTTCATGAGCCTAACTAACGGGATTCGGTGCCAGGAAGTTTGGAAAAATGGTCCCTTGAACATATTTGCCCATGAAAGACGTATACTTTACTAGTCGCTTCCCTTGACACCACGCTAAGATAGAAGCTGGTGTACGAAAACCTACACAACTCCCATGAATATTTTGTTTTATAATGGAGTTTTTATTATTATTAATCCCATAGAAAGGGGAAACATAGATAAACTTTTACTGTTACTTTTATCATTTGTCATGATACGTTGACAGTGAAGAATATGCATTTACAATTGGAACTGAAATGACATAATTACTATTAAGAAATTAGTTATAAAAGATAAGGGAATTTCCAAGCGTTGTACAAAAGTAAACACACATTCACATCCATACACATTCACAAGAGACAAATACTTGATCAGTTGTAAAAGACATAGTACACAAGAATATAATTAAAGTGGGACCGGCGACGTATATGAAATGTCCCATCTGCTGATGAGTATGTCAGTCATTCTCTTTCACTTATATTGTTACCAAATGTTTACGACAGATTCAAGTTGGGAATACCATCCGTCAAAAGGTACCAATCTGTAAACTTTGAAATCAAGACAAATAAACAAACATAAGTTAACACTAAGACCACTAGTAGATACCTTGATGATAAACCAAAGCAACAGTGGCATACATCGTGAAGAACGTGCGATACGTGCGGGATAAAGAGCAAAATGTAAACACAGACGTGGAAACAAAGTGCAGCAGCAAAAACCAAAATGGCGTCGTTTGTGAATAACGGAAGTAGCAACGGTCTCCATGGAGATCAATCGACGATCGTCACCTCTCGCTCTTTTCCGTAAACTGCTTATACCGGAATGACACGATTGATCACGATTGAGAAATCTATGTTATGACATTAGTCTACATGGAATCTTCCCAATCTTCAAATCAATATTTCTATTTCTTGTAATATAACTAGAGTTTGACAACAAAGTATGTTTCTATAAAAAATAATATATATAAACCTATGTCCATTAAACGTTTTCAGGGGCGTGTTTTCGCTAAAAAAAAGATTCAGCACATAACCTTCTTTACATCAGCGACCCGTGAAGATCCGGGGTAGAGTAGGTCTTCAGCAACCGATGCTTGCCGTAAAAGGCGACTATGCTTGTCGTAAGAGGCGACTAACGGGATCGGGTGGTCAGGCTCGCTGACTTGGTTGATGCATGTCATCGATCCCAATTGCGTGGATCGATGCTCATGATATTAATCACTGGATTGTCTAGTCCAGACTCGACTATTTGCAGGCCGCCGTCATATAGCTGGAATATTGCTGAGTGCGGCATTAAACAACAAACCAACCAACCAACTTTACATCAGCGATTATCATCACCGGGAATAACATTGTAATTCATCAAAGTTTGAGATGATCAATCGTCTACTTGTGTTTCATTCAGAAGCATGAAAAAACAGAAAACGATATTAAACGACCGGTCGTAATTAGCTGCGGTATCTCTGTGTTGCTCTCTATAAACGATGTTGATAGTGACTTGACACCACACTTAAATTGTTGTCATCCCAACTTGGTTCATGTACCATTAACGGTAAACACCGTGAGCACGTAACGCCGGGCATACCATGTCAACAAATCCCTACTGAAGTACAAAATTTAATCACGTAATTACACTGTCTGGTTATAAAAAAGGGTTCATTGAATATCAGGATCTATGTTTGTAATCCATTTGATTAATTTTATTCAGTACATTTACCTTAGATATTTTCTGCATTTTTACTATGGACACATTGATAACTATCTTAACTTTGAGGCAGGAGTAACGTGCTTTCTTCCAATCAATCAGTCATTTTGTCAAATCATCTTTCGCTCACGGTCAATGATCCTATGGTATCATCTTTTTAAGAGTGAGTGAGTGAGGGAGTGAGTGATCGAGGGAGGGAGGTTTTACGCGCGCTTTTAGCAATAATCCAGCAATATCATGGCAGGTGACACCAGAAATGGGCCTCACACATTGTACCAATGTCGGGAATCGAACCCGGGTCTTCGGCGTGACGAGCGAACGCTTTAACCACTGGGCTACCCGACCGTCCCCTTTTTTAAAAGAAACCTTATCATTGTTCCACATATGTATGATGATATGCGTACATACGAAATATATTCTAAAACATTCCTAACTGTAAATTATGACACGAAACATGTTGATGTTATTCGGCAACAATCATAAGAGGGAGGCACGCCCTGTCCTACACTGCTTTACCTGCCCTAGAGCGCTTGCACGTCTGGACCTGTCAATCCAGTGATTGACATCACGAACCTCGATCCATGCAATTGGTTCTGGTTCTGGTTCTGGTTTGTTGTTTAACGCCGCACTAAGCAGTATTCCAGCTGTATGACGGCGATCTGTAAATAATCGAGTCTGGATAGACAATCCAGTGATTGATATCATGAGCATCGATCCACGCAATTGGGATCGATGACATGCATCAACCAAGTCAGCGAGCCTGACCATGCACCCGATCCCGTTAGTCGCCTTTTACGACAAGCACAGTCGCCTTTTACGGCAAGCATGGGTTGCTGAAGACCTATTCTACCCCGGAATCTTCACGGGTCCCATGCAATCAGGTGGCTTACTGTATACGTGTAACATCCGATCTGCGTTGTTTTAGGAAGAGCCTTAGCGAGGAATAACCATAACCTACAGGTATTTTTGGAGAGGTAAAATTAATGAATAAGCAATAATTATCCTTGACGTTAGGAGCCGACCATTTAATATTCGGGTGGAGGGGGGAAAGGGTTTTGTATGGAGATTAGATATATTTTCAGCTACAGTTGCAAACAACTTTTCTTTTTAATTAAAACTATGAGCCTGAATATGTTTTTAAGAAAAACACCATGAAACAATGTAATTTTGGGGGCAGACATAATTACTATTTTCAAGAATTTTCTGGAACAGTATATATACTATGTTTCGATAAAATCCCACCCCATTCCCACTCTCCATAAAGGGATTATCAATTTGCGTGTCCTTTAGTGAATACAAATAAAATGCGAATACACAAGACGCGTTCATCAAGCACCAACGTTTATCATTTACATTTTAAGGATATTAAATTATAATTTTAAATTCATGTATAAAACAGTATGTATTATTTATGTTCTCAAAATAACCCAAATAGTCCAAAATTGTTCGTCCGAAAGGTCCTAAAACAAGTAGTTCACACAACACTGGCACAGCAAACAACTCCAAAGTCTATCTCTCCGTGAAGAAACTCTGGAACATGTATTTCACACAGGACACAAGGACGGCCGAGCACGACTGGGGCTGATTGGATTCTTCACCAAGATCTATCTCCACAACTTGAGGGCGGGCTCTGGGGGCAAGGACTGGGAGGGAGGTCTGGGGGTCGGGCTGGGATGAGAGGGGGTTGACGGTGATCGTGAAGTCACTGGTGCGCTTATAAAGAGGAAATAGATGTCCTTAAATAATTGAAATCAGTATCAATCTATAGTTCAAATAGCTTGAACTATGAAGAAAATATCCGTTATTTGTATTCTACCTTATCTTGATATTCATTAAAACAAATAGGAAGTGAAGATATACAGCCAACAGACTAACATACATAAAAGCGACAAAAATATTTCAATAATCATAATAAAATAACTAAGTGTCCATTTCTACTAAGTATGTGTTTCTAAAACTTTGGTTATGTGAGGGAGAGGTAGAAAAATGCAAGTCGTCTTTCTTGTATTGAGTACTGGTTATCAGAATCTTCGTGATTGTCAAGTATTTCATATTTGTCTCTTTTTTTATCGTTTTATTTCTTTTTGGAGTAGACAAACAATACGTTTACAGATTATAGTTCACATACAATTTTAAATACATGCAAAGAACAAAGTATGTCTATGGATGATAACAATCAAAAGAATTGCAGTGTCAGGAAAGCAAGATCTAGTTGGAATTGTGTAAGTTAGAGGATTACTCACATAACTAGTGAGTCTGTGACAGTAACCAAAATGTCATGAAGTGTGTGTATTTACATGGGGAATATAACGTATTGCTGACGATGTATTATAACGCGTGAGTTGGTTATTTCTGGTTTGATGTGATGGAAATTTGGTAGGGATTCGGAAATGTTTGATGTGAATGTTTGTTCAGTTATAGTTGTAATACGATTTAAACATCATTTGTTTTTCTTGATATCCTACTAAAAATACATATTAGTCTTAATAAAATAACTTGTTTCGAACTGTTGTTAGTTGCAAACGTTCTCGAAATTTGTTTTTCTTACTAAAAGGACACACTCAAACAACTTGAACCCAATGATGACCTACAGGATCAGGGACAGGAAGAGTCTTTTGGGAGACGGGGGCCTGGTAGTTCCTAAACCTGTAGAGATCGTCCTGGGCTATAATGGAATAAATAAAATATAACTTAAAAAAATAAAAAAGACGTTTCTAGGGACTGAGTGGCAGCCGCCATTTTGGATCCCCATTTTACAGACCAAATACAACAGACTATTGCCCAAACTAGACTCAGTCTACTGAAAGAAACACAGCGCTTGTGTGTTTTTCATGAGCCCAACTAACAGGATTCGGTGCCAGGAAGTTTGGAAAAATGGTCCCTTGAACATATTTGCCCATGAAAGACGTATACTTTACTAGTCGCTTCCCTTGACACCACGCTAAGATAGAAGCTGGTGTACGAAAACCTACACAACTCCCATGAATATTTTGTTTTATAATGGAGTTTTTATTATTATTAATCCCATAGAAAGGGGAAACATAGATAAACTTTTACTGTTACTTTTATCATTTGTCATGATACGTTGACAGTGAAGAATATGCATTTACCATGGGAATTGAAATGACATAATTACTATTACTATTAATGACCGTAATTAGTTACAAATGATACCGGAATTTCCAAGCGTTTTACAAAAGTAAACACACATTCACATCCATACACATTCATAAGAGACAAATACTTGATCAGTTGTAAAAGACATAGTACACAAGCATATAATACAAGTGGGATCGGCGAAGCACATGAAATGTCCCATCTGCTGATGAGTATGTCAGTCATTCTCTTTCACTTTTATTGTTACCAAATGTTTACGACAGATTCAAGTTGGGAATACCATCCGTCAAAAGGTATCAATCTGTAAACTTTGAAATCAAGATAAAAAGCAAACATAAGTTAACACTAAGACCACTAGTAGATACCTTGATAATAAACCAAAGCAACAGTGGCATACATCGTGAAGAACGTGCGATACGTGCGGGATAAAGAGCAAAATGTAAACACAGACGTGGAAACAAAGTGCAGCAGCAACAACCAAAATGGCGTCGTTTGTGAATAACGGAAGTAGCAACGGTCTCCATGGAGATCCATCGACGATCGTCACCTCTCGCTCTTTTCCGTAAACTGCTTATACCGGAATGACACGATTGATCACGATTGAGAAATCTATTATACTGTTATGACATTAGTCTACATGGAATCTTCCCAATCTACAAATCAATATTTCTATTTCTTGTAATATAACTAGAGTTTGACAACATAGTATGTTTCTATAAAGAATATTATATATAAACCTATGTCCATTAAACGTTTTCAGAGGCGTGTTTTTGCGAAATAAAACGATTCAGCACATAACCTCCTTTACATCAGCGACCCGTAAAGGTCCGGGGTAGAATAGGTCTTCAGCAACCCTTGCTTGCCGTAAAAGACGACTATGCTTGTCGTAAGAGGCGACTAACAGGTTCGGGTGGTCAGGCTCGCTGACTTGGTTGATGCATGTCATCGATCCCAATTGCGTGGATCGATGCTCATGATATTAATCACTGGATTGTCTAGTCCAGACTCGATTATTTGCAGGCCGCCGTCATATAGCTGGAATATTGCTGAGTGCGGCGTCCACAACAAACCAACCAACCAACTTTACATCAGCGATTATCATCACCGGGAATAACATTGTTATTCATCAAGGTTTGAGATGATCAATACGTCTACTTGTGTTTCATTCAGAAGCATGAAAAAACAGAAAACGATATTAAACGACCGGTCGTAATTAGCTGCGGTATCTCTGTGTTGCTCTCTATAAACGATTTTGATAGTGACTTGACGCTACACTTAAATTGCTAACTTGTTTGATAGGCATTACTTAGAAGTTGGCGGATGACAAGATAGACACAATTTTATGGATAACAACTTCTTTAATACTGTAAAAAGCGACGTTTCGGTATAGATCCTTATACCGTTGTCAAGCAAGACTGAATGAGGGACATAGTGCAGAATATATATAGCAAGTGGAGGATTAACAGTAGAGGATTAACAGTAACAACAAGGGCATACACGAGTGGGATAACATAGGTGATTATTGTTTGATGAGTTCATAGTAGGCGGATGGGATGAAATAGCCTTGATCTCTGTTGCTTGTTGGGTTGTGGCGGCGAATGTGGACTGCTTCTGTTAGTTTTCTTTTGGTGAAATCATGGAGGTTGTTGGCGAGGATTTGGACGTTGTCCCAGTTGATGATGTGATTGGGACAGTTGATGATATGGTCCGAGATGGCTGATTTGCTGTCGGATTTGATGGTGGAGGTTTTATGCTCTTTGATTCTAGTGTTGATTGGGCGGGAGGTTTCACCTACGTAAGATTGCCCGCAGTTGCAGTCAACTTTGTAGACTACACCTTTAACCTCTTGGGGTTTAGATGTGTTCCTGCCGTTGGCTCTTAGCAGGGTGTTGAGGGAGTTGGAGCTGGTGAAGTGGGTGTCGATGTTGGCTTGCTGTTTGAGGAGGCGGCTGATGATGTGGGAGGCTTTTCCTATGAACGGGAGGGCGATGCGGAAGGGCGCTGATTCGGGTTTAGGGGCCGCATGTCTGGGTGTGGGATAGAGTACAGAGGCGATGACTTTGTCGACTAGTTTGGCCGGATAATTTTTTAGGTGGGTGAAGACTTGGCGGAGGTGTGCGATCTTAAATTGTTGTCATCCCAACTTGGTTCATGTACCATTAACGGTATACACCGTGAGCACGTAACGCCGGGCACACCATGTCAACAAATCCCTACTGAAGTACAAAATTTAATCACGTAATTACACTGTCTGGTTACAAAAAGGGGTTCATTGAATATCAGGATCTATGTTTGTAATCCATTTGATTAATTTTATTCAGTACATTTACTATGGACACATTGATAACTATCTTAACTTTGAGGCAGGAGTAACGTGTTTTTCTTCCCATCAATCAGTCATTTTGTCAAATCATCTTTCGCTCACGGTCAATGATCCTATGGTATCATCTTTTTGTGAGTGAGTGAGTGAGTGAGTGATCGAGTGAGGGAGGTTTTACGCGCGCTTTTAGCAATAATCCAGCAATATCATGGCAGGAGACACCAGAAATGGGCCTCACACATTGTACCAATGTCGGGAATCGAACCCGGGTCTTCGGCGTGACGAGCGAACGCTTTAACCACTAGGCTACCCGACCGTCCCCTTTTTTAAAAGAAACTTTATCATTGTTCCACATATGTATAATGATATGCGTACATACGAAATATATTCTAAAACATTCCTAACTGTAAATTATGACACGAAACATGTTGATGTTATTCGGCAACAATCATAAGAGGGAGGCACGCCCTGTCCTACACTGCTTTACCTGCCCTAGAGCGCTTGCACGTCTGGACCTGTCAATCCAGTGATTGACATCACGAACCTCGATCCATGCAATTGGTTCTGGTTCTGGTTCTGGTTTGTTGTTTAACGCCGCACTAAGCAGTATTCCAGCTGTATGACGGCGATCTGTAAATAATCGAGTCTGGACTAGACAATCCAGTGATTGATATCATGAGCATCGATCCACGCAATTGGGATCGATGACATGCATCAACCAAGTCAGCGAGCCTGACCACCCGATCCCGTTAGTCGCCTTTTACGACAAGCACAGTCGCCTTTTACGGCAAGCATGGGTTGCTGAAGACCTATTCTATCCCGGAATCTTCACGGGTCCTATGCAATCAGGTGGCTTACTGTATATGTGTAACATCCGATCTGCGTTGTTTTAGGAAGAGCCTTAGCGAGGAATTACCATAACCTACAGGTATTTTTGGAGAGGTAAAATTAATGAATAAGCAATAATTATCCTTGACGTTAGGAGCCGACCATTTAATATTCGGGTGGAGGGGGGAAAGGGTTTTGTATGGAGATTAGATATATTTTCAGCTACAGTTGCAAACAACTTTTCTTTTTAATTAAAACTATGAGCCTGAATATGTTTTTAAGAAAAACACCATGAAACAATGTAATTTTGGGGGCAGACATAATTACTATTTTCAAGAATTTTCTGGAACAGTATATATATTATGTTTGGCGAAACCGCATTATCGGTGGTTTGAGAAGGGAGCTAACTCCGTTTGCCTAATCGAAAGTTCGAGGTGGGCTCACATTCGAAACTAAACGCACTTGTTGTTGAGAATATGTACAGTGTAAACTAACCCGCATTACGAACTGCTATTTTGTCTATTTAAAACAAGTATTATTACTTATAATTGGATTAGAATGTACAAACGCGATGACAATACAGCAGAACTCACTTCTACGAACATCGCCAAACTAGGTCGCGGGGTCATTAATATTCATGAGTTATTCCTTTTATGGAACATGTTCTCGGAAAAGTTTGAGGCTTGTATCATGACTGTCATGTCCGAGATCAATTCAAGTGTAGACATATTTCAAGCGGCAAACTTATCATCAGATTGATGTGTTATACTGGAAAAAGTAGAATGAGTGGTATTGCCTCTGTAAATTTAAATTGAAGTAGATCTAAGTTTCTTGCTTTGTAACTATTTTTGCAAAACTAGTGTGGTCAGCTATGATGACGTTATTCAAACTTCAAAGACTTTGTGTGCATTTATAAAGATATTTCCCATCAATATTACAAAATGAGAATAATATATAATGTCACATACCCATGCAAATGTGAGCCCACTAGTCTAAATGAATCAGTCAACCCAATGAAGCCCAGCGATTTACAAATGTGGGCCCACCTGTTTCGATCACTATAAGACGGGAACAATGTGGGCTTACATTTTAGAAAATGGTTATAAGTAAGCCAGGCTAATGAAGCTTAGCGATTTATAAATGTGGTCCCTCCTGTTGCAATCACTATGACGGAAGAACGTCTTCCTACTAGGAGATATACAAATATGGGCCCACTTGTTTCGATCACCATATATGACGGGAACAATGTGGGCCCACATTTGAGAAAATGGTTATCACCACTAAACCAATCTAAGAAGATGTACGGATGGAAATGTACAACATGTACGGACATTTAATTAAGAATACGTTTTACCTTAGGGATTAGCTGGGCATTTAATAGCTGGACCAACAACGTACAGCATGACTGACGCCATTTCTCGCAAATACGAAAACAACGGAGATAGCTCCCGTTTGAATTTAGAGTGACCTCCCTTTCCCAATATGAACCACTGATAATGCGGTTTCGATAAAATCCCACCCTATTCCCACTCTTCATAAAGGGATTATCAATTTGCGTGTCCTTTAGTGAATACAAATAAAATGCGAATACACAAGACGCGTTCTTCAAGCACCAACGTTTATCATTTACATTTTAAGGATATTATAATATAATTTTAAATTCATGTATAAAACAGTATGTATTATTTATGTTCTCAAAATAACCCAAATAGTCCAAAATTGTTCGTCCGAAAGGTCCTAAAACAAGTAGTTCACACAACACTGGCACAGCAAACAACTCCAAAGTCTATCTCTCCGTGAAGAAACTCTGGAACATGTATTTCACACAGGACACAAGGACGGCCGAGCACGACTGGGGCTGATTGGATTCTTCACCAAGATCTATCTCCACAACTTGAGGGCGGGCTCTCGGGGCAGGGACGGGGAGGGAGGTCTGGGGGTCGGGCTGGGATGAGAGGGGGTTGACGGTGATCGTGAAGTCACTGGTGCGCTTATAAAGAGGAAATAGATGTCCTTAAATAATTGAAATCAGTATCAATCTATAGTTCAAATAGCTTGAACTATGAAGAAAATATCCGTTATTTGTATTCTACCTTATCTGGATATTTATTAAAACAAATAGGAAGTGAAGATATACAGCCAACAGACTAACATACATAAAAGCGACAAAAATATTTCAATAATCATAATAAAATAACAAAGTGTCCATTTCTACTAAGTATGTGTTTCTAAAACTTTGGTTATGTGAGGGAGAGGTAGAAAAATGCAAGTCGTCTTTCTTGTATTGAGTACTGGTTATCAGAATCTTCAGGTATTTCATATTTGTCTCTTTTTTTATCGTTTTATTTCTTTTTGGAGTAGACAAACAATACGTTTACAGATTATAGTTCACATACAATTTTAAATACATGCAAAGAACAAAGTATGTCTATGGATGATAACAATCAAAAGAATTGCAGTGTCAGGAAAGCAAGATCTAGTTGGAATTGTGTAAGTTAGAGGATTACTCACATAACTAGTGAGTCTGTGACAGTAACCAAAATGTCATGAAGTGTGTGTATTTACATGGGGAATATAACGTATTGCTGACGATGTATTATAACGCGTGAGTTGGTTATTTCTGGTTTGATGTGATGGAAATTTGGTAGGGATTCGGAAATGTTTGATGTGAATGTTTGTTCAGTTATAGTTGTAATACGATTTAAACATCATTTGTTTTTCTTGATATCCTACTAAAATACATATTAGTCTTTAATAAAATAACTTGTTTCGAACTGTTGTTAGTTGCAAACGTTCTCGAAATTTACTTTTCTTACTAAAAGGACACACTCAAACAACTTGAACCCAATGATGACCTACAGGATCAGGGACAGGAAGAGTCTTTTGGGAGACGGGGGCCTGGTAGTTCCTAAACCTGTAGAGATCGTCCTGGGCTATAATGGAATAAATAAAATATAACTTAAAAAAATAAAAAAGACGTTTCTAGGGACTGAGTGGCAGCCGCCATTTTGGATCCCCATTTTACAGACCAAATACAACAGACTATTGCCCAAACTAGACTACTAACAGGATTCGGTGCCAGGAAGTTTGGAAAAATGGTCCCTTGAACATATTTGCCCATGAAAGACGTATACTTTACTAGTCGCTTCCCTTGACACCACGCTAAGGTAGAAGCTGGTGTACGAAAACCTACACAACTCCCATGAATAATTTGTTTTATAATGGAGTTTTTATTATTATTAATCCCATAGAAAGGGGAAACATAGATAAACTTTTACTGTTACTTTTATCATTTGTCATGATACGTTGACAGTGAAGAATATGCATTTACCATGGGAATTGAAATGACATAATTACTATTACTATTAATAACCGTAATTAGTTACAAATGATACCGGAATTTCCAAGCGTTTTACAAAAGTAAACACACATTCACATCCATACACATTCATAAGAGACAAATACTTGATCAGTTGTAAAAGACATAGTACACAAGCATATAATACAAGTGGGACCGGCGAAGTACATGAAATGTCCCATCTGCTGATGAGTATGTCAGTCATTCTCTTTCACTTTTATTGTTACCAAATGTTTACGACAGATTAAAGTTGGGAATACCATCCGTCAAAAGGTATCAATCTGTAAACTTTGAAATCAAGATAAAAAGCAAACATTAGTTAACACTAAGACCACTAGTAGATACCTTGATAATAAACCAAAGCAACAGTGGCATACATCGTGAAGAACGTGCGATACGTGCGGGATAAAGAGCAAAATGTAAACACAGACGTGGAAACAAAGTGCAGCAGCAACAACCAAAATGGCGTCGTTTGTGAATAACGGAAGTAGCAACGGTCTCCATGGAGATCCATCGACGATCGTCACCTCTCGCTCTTTTCCGTAAACTGCTTATACCGGAATGACACGATTGATCACGATTGAGAAATCTATTATACTGTTATGACATTAGTCTACATGGAATCTTCCCAATCTACAAATCAATATTTCTATTTCTTGTAATATAACTAGAGTTTGACAACATAGTATGTTTCTATAAAGAATATTATATATAAACCTATGTCCATTAAACGTTTTCAGAGGCGTGTTTTTGCGAAATAATACGATTCAGCACATAACCTCCTTTACATCAGCGACCCGTAAAGGTCCGGGGTAGAATAGGTCTTCAGCAACCCTTGCTTGCCGTAAAAGACGACTATGCTTGTCGTAAGAGGCGACTAACAGGTTCGGGTGGTCAGGCTCGCTGACTTGGTTGATGCATGTCATCGATCCCAATTGCGTGGATCGATGCTCATGATATTAATCACTGGATTGTCTAGTCCAGACTCGATTATTTGCAGGCCGCCGTCATATAGCTGGAATATTGCTGAGTGCGGCGTCCACAACAAACCAACCAACCAACTTTACATCAGCGATTATCATCACCGGGAATAACATTGTAATTCATCAAGGTTTGAGATGATCAATACGTCTACTTGTGTTTCATTCAGAAGCATGAAAAAACAGAAAACGATATTAAACGACCGGTCGTAATTAGCTGCGGTATCTCTGTGTTGCTCTCTATAAACGATGTTGATAGTGACTTGACGCTACACTTAAATTGTTGTCATCCCAACTTGGTTCATGTACCATTAACGGTAAACACCGTGAGCACGTAACGCCGGGCACACCATGTCAACAAATCCCTACTGAAGTACAAAATTTAATCACGTAATTACACTCTCTGGTTATAAAAAGGGTTCATTGAATAACAGGATCTATGTTTGTAATCCATTTGATTAATTTTATTCAGTACATTTACCTTAGATATTTTCTGGAGTGAGTGAGTGAGTGAGTGAGTGAGTGAGTGAGTGAGTGAGTGAGTGAGTGAGTGAGTGAGTGAGTGAGTGAGTGAGTGAGTGAGTGAGTGAGTGAGTGAGTGAGTGAGTGAGGTTTTACGTGCGCTTGTAGCAATATCATGGCAGGAGACACCAGAAATGGGCCTCACACATTGAACCCATGTCGGGAATCGAACCCGGGTCTTCGGCGTGACGAGCGAACGCTTTAACCACTAGGCTACCCGACCGTCCCCTTTTTTAAAAGAGACTTGATCATTGTTCCACATATGTATAATGATATGCGTACATACGAAATATATTCTAAAACATTCCTAACTGTAAATTATTACGCGAAACATATTGATGTTATTCGGCAACAATCATAAGAGGGAGGCACGCCCTGTCCTACACTGCTTTACCTGCCCTAGAGCTCTTGCACCTCTGGACCAGTCAATCCAGTGATTGACATCACGAACCTCGATCCATGCAATTGGTTCTTGTTCTGGTTCTGGTTTGTTGTTTAACGCCGCACTAAGCAGTATTCCAGCTGTATGACGGCGATCTGTAAATAATCGAGTCTGGACTAGACAATCCAGTGATTGATATCATGAGCATCGATCCACGCAATTGGGATCGATGACATGCATCAACCAAGTCAGCGAGCCTGACCACCCGATCCCGTTAGTCGCCTTTTACGACAAGCACAGTCGCCTTTTACGGCAAGCATGGGTTGCTGAAGACCTATTCTACCCCGGAATCTTCACGGGTCCCATGCAATTGGGATATGATGACATGCATCTACCAAATCAGGGAGCCTGACTACCCGATCCTGTTAGTCGCCTCTTACGACAAGCATAGTCGCCTTTTACAGTTAGCTTTGGATGCTGAAGACGTATTCTACCCCGTATCTTAAGGGTCCAAATGCAAAGTGATATGAGAGGTGCAATCTGATGGGTCAATAGAAGGGACATAGAAGGGACATAACTGTAATAGATACTGGTGGCACAACGATGGAGCCCAGAAATTCTAGCCTCGTTCGGCAAGGGTGGAAACTGGACTTTTATAGTCAGTTACCTCCCTTGCCTCGGGAAGATGAGTGACAAGCCGCCCCCAAGCAACTCTAAGGATATTTGTTTAAAGGCTTATGACGAAAGAACAAACCAGAACCTTTATGAAGTTTCGATGCATGCCCAAACTCAGTTATCTACACCTTCACAAGGAGTGAGTGCGTGAGTTGGGTTTAACGCCGCTTTTAACAGTATTCCAGTTATATCACGGCGTGTCAGTGCCCCTTTAATGTGGGAGGAAAGCCCGAAGTGATGCAGGTCTCAGACGTTTACCACTTCGGTGAAACCCACGAGCACGGGTATGGTGCTGACAAACCTAGAAACATAATCGGGGCGAACCGGGATTCGAACCCATAATCATAGGTTTCTGGCGTGCCAAAGGGACGCAACTCTGCACAGCGAATCGCGGCGCCTTAGACGATTGGGCCACCCGTGCCCCCCACCTTCACATGGAAATCGATACCGATTCTCTCTCCCTAAACCGCCCCTACCAGACCATGACACTGTCAAACCCACAAAAACATGGTAATATTAAACATGAAGATTATTTCCTGTAAAGCCTTCACTGCGCATAGCCTACACTGTGTTGTATTACTTCTTTCAATTAAAAAAATAGTTTAGGTGATGAGTTTGTCCCCAAATAAGTCTAAAGTGAACTGACAAAAGCACGGCTTTCTACAGCAAGTGTGGTGTGGGATTCGTGTAATACTGTTATTAAATTCCGACACTGCTCGTTACGGAATCCAAAAACCAAGAGTCAAACGGTTTTATGTAGTAAAACGCCTACATTATTTCTTGTACTATCGATATTCCCGAAGATAAGAGCTAGGTAATGGGGTGAGAAGCCAATACTGTGTAGGATGGATCCGATTAATGCACCGAATCTTGACCTTCGGGCATTCATTTGTTCCCGAGCACGAGCTAAAGAAAATGAAAGGAAATTTACCGCTGTTAAATTTTCCTAGGGCAAGATAATGTGCTCATAAGAAATATCAAACCTAACAGCCCTTCAACAGTAATTGAAAACAGAGAAATGTCATCTTATATTTTCATCACTTTTCTCAGAGGTAAATGAGCTGAATGCACGTGCTGTTCAGAGGTGTGGGTTGAGATTAGTTGTGTAAGCAGCATGTGTTGTTTTGTTCGTTTGTCGCGTGTATTTAAATATTAGTGCTCAGTGTAAATGTTTCTGTCAGTGGAACGTAGTGATACATTGAACAAAGTGTATTGACCTTCATGCACGACGAATTGCTACGTTTGTAACTACTAATGTCAATACATTAAGACGACAATGCAACGCATTGTGTCACAACTCATCCCATGGCTGTTCGTCAGGGGTGACCAAATTGCGGAGTCCGTTTGCCAAAGGTTGCGCCCCCGTGTCGTTGAGGAAGGGAGTCTGGTGGTTGAGAGCACTGGAGCCAGGAACAGTGTTCCTTTTGCCAGACACGCCACTTCGACCCTCACTTCACCTAGACGGGTGGTAGGATGGGCCCGACCATATCAGTCGGCTGGTCATGCCGAGCCCTGTGTATTTTCAATTGCATAAATATTTTTTTTAAATACTTGATTTCATTTTTGGAGAATTATCTTGGCATTTTTTTATTTAAGAAGTAAATCTTGCAAAAAGTGGATGGAAAATGAAGTTTGCCTAGTCTCTATGCCCAGAAGGCGGCGAGGGCTCACAGGTAATTCTGGTAGGGTGTATCTTTTCAAGATATATTTCTCCCCGAGTATACCCTCCTGGTATTTTTGGTCTGTCGTGAGATCCACAGACGTGAGGCATCGTCCGTGTTGACACTCCATGGTGGGTGGGGTGGGGTGGGGTGGGGTGGGCAGTGGGGGTGTGCAGTGGGTATGTGAAATATATTCAATACTACCATGGCACTCCCTACCAAAATGCATTCTCATGAATCTGATGATTCGCTCTCTTCGGAGGATGAAGATCCTTCAAAACGTCTCATAAATCTTGATAATTGGCCTAGATATCTAGTCATGTCTGCTATTGATTGTGGTCCTCTCAAGTTGAATACTTTCGCTGTAGCAAAGGGTATTGAAGGTTGAGCTGGTGAAGCTCAATAAGTTAGAAAGCTACGTTCTGGATGCTGTTTGATTGAGTGCAAAAAGCAAACACAATCACAAATTCTCCTCTCAACAAAATTACTGGCAAATGTTCCAGTCGAAGTTCTCCACACAAGTCATTGAACAGCAGCAAATTCATTGTTCGTGATGCAATGTGTTGCCTCTCGGACATTACCGAGATTGAAGTTGTGGCAGAATTACAATCACAAGGTGTTTTGATGTGAAGCGCTTCACTGCGAAGAGACAAAATGACATTACAAAGTCAAAAAACAATTTCTTTACATTTAGTCTTCCACCCCGTCCAGGATCACTTAAAGCTGGCTATTGTAACTCACTTATCCCCTTAGATGATACAGATGTATGGCCATGGATCATCATCATCATGTCATAATCCAGCTGCCTGCCATCGTTGTGCTGGAACATGCAAACTATGTGACAAACCTCCCGCCAGTGTCAACTGTTCGCATAGCCTTCCCTCCTCATCCAAATTACAGTCAAAGATTTCTTGAGTCAAGCATGACTGTAATATAAGTTTTCAGGATGCAAAGAGGATTGTTCTTGATCAAGAACAACCAGGACCAACGCATGCTAATGTTTCAGCTTCTCTGCCAGTGTCCAACCCTAAACGTGTTCCATGTCAAACAGCAGGTTGCCAGATCGACTCCACATGGGCAAAGTCTTCTCCCACTTTGTTATCTGCTGCAGTCCAGGTGAGGCCTCCACATGAGACCTCTAGTTCACAAACCATCACATCCAAAACAATCAATTGCAGGCATCTTTGACAACGAATCATCGTTATCTTAGGATAAATCAGCTCAATCTGCTGAACCTAACTCAGAAACAAATGTGCAACAAGTTATAAATAAACCAACGCAAGC